GGGTGGCCACCCGAAGGCACGTTGGACCTTAACGCTATCCTTTCTGTCAAAGACATTGTCTTTCAGAAGGGACTAGGAAGTCATCTGGACCAGCAGCCATACATCATAGTTTGGCAAAATCTGATCCAAAACCCACCTTCACCGTACATCATCGTTTGGCAAGATCTGCTCCAAAACCCACCTTCGTGGGTTCGACCATGGTTGCCCAGGCCCCGTCCAAACCCCCCTCAGGTCCTGGTGGCCCAGTCTCCCAACCCTCCAGAGGGTACAGACCTCTCCAAATGTCCCAAGCGAATCTATCCAGAGATCTGAGACCTTCTTCTGCTAGACACCCTTCCCCCATATCCCTCGTCCCTTCCGCTAGGTGAAGAAAGGCGCAGAGACCCCAGAGTGCTACCTAACATTGGACCTGCTCCTTCTGCCCCCCCTGAGGGTGCCCTTCTAGGGCCTTTTCAGGGCATTAGGAGTCAATGTCACACACTGCCGTCTCCCGATATCACTGTGGCACTGCCCTTACGGGCCTACGGGCCCCTACCTCTGCCTACTGATGAGGAGCTGCCTCCCCTACAGCCTCTCTAATATTGGCCTTTTTCTTCCTCTGACCTTTACAACTGGAAAACTAACTATCCCCCTTTCTCTGAGGACCCCCAGCACCTAACCAGCCTGGTAGAGTCCCTAATGTTCTCTCATCAGCCAACATGTGACGATTACCAGCAGCTCCTGCAGACTCTCTTCACCACCAAAGAGAGAGAGAGGATCTTACTCGAAGCAAGAAAAAATATCCTGGGGCTGACGGACGTCCCACTCAGCTTCCTAACCTTATCGAGGCTGCTTTTCCTATCTCTCAACCCTCGACCCAACGGGGACTACAATACGGCAGAAGGTGGGGAGCGACTGACAATTTATCGCCAGGCTCTAGTGGCTGGCCTCCGTGGGGCTACCAGGCACCCCACTAATTTGGCTAAGGTAAGAGAGGTTATGCAGGGGGCTACAGAACCCCCATCAGTGTTTCTTGAGCATTTCATGAAGGCATTCAGGCATTTTACCCCTTTTGACCCTGCTTCTGAGGGACAGAGAGCCTCCATAGCTATAGCCTTCATTGGATAATCAGCATTAGATTAAAAAATAAATAAAAACTCCAGAGACTCGATGGGTTGCAGGATCTCTCTTTACAGGACTTAGTTAAAGAAGCAGAAAAAGTATATTATAGTATAATATAAAAGAAAAACAGAAAAAGAAAGAAAACAGAAGACGGAAAAAGAAAGGGGGGAAAGAGAGAGTAAAAAGGAAAAAAGACAAGAAAAAAACCTAGCTCGGATCCTGGCCACAGTAGTGTGAGAGGACAAGAATGGGGCTCCAACAAGGGACCAAAGTTTCTGGTAGTATCCCACTAGACAAGGATCAGTGTGCTTACTGTAAAGAAAAAGGAAATTGGGCAAAAGATTGTCCTAAAAGGGCCAAGAAAAACAAAGTGCAGCCACCCCCTCTGGCCGAAGTACTTGCCCTGCACAAGGACTCAGACTAGGGGAGATGGGGATCGGAGCCCCTCCCCGAGCCTAGGGTAACTCTAAAAATGGAAGGGAAGCCAATTAATTTTTTAGTCGACACTGGGGCCCAACACTCAGTGTTACTGGCACCGTCAACCATTGGGGCCACTTTCCAAGAAAAAAATCATGGGTCTTAGGGGCAACCGGGCACCGGCAGTATCCATGGACCACCAATAGAACAGTTAACCATGGAAGAGGCCTGATGAGCCACTCCTCCTTCTTGGTCATTCCTGAAGGTCCGGCGCCCCTCCTTGGGAGAGACTTACTTAACAGCTCTAACCAGGACAAAAACTGCTATCCATCTCCATATTTGCCTGTTTGGGCCTCTATGTTGAACTTCATGGTTGTTTAGTCTCCCCCTGCCAATCTCCCCCTCATGGAACCAGCATTCTCTAGGTAGGAAGGCTGCTTGCTCTGTCTGGCTCACTTCTTTCCCTTCAAACTTTTTTATCTTTTTGAAAAAATATCTCTCTTGTGTCCTTAAGCTTTTCTCTTGTTAATCTGTCTTTTTCTCACCTAGTATAGAAAGCTGCTAGCGATCTCCACCTTTGCCTGTTTTGGAACTCTGAGTTTAGTTACACCCTGTGATGTGTTCCCCCCCGGCCAGTGTCCTCAGCCAGACCCAGAGCTAGCCAGGACAGGACAGAAAGCTTCTAGCCATCTCTCCATTTGCCTGTTTGGTCCTCTGAGTTATCCTGAAAGACTATGAAGTCTCTTTCAAGTAGAGTCCCCCTTACAGATCCAGTGCTAGCCATGTAGGAAGCCTGTTTTTTTTTCCTTCTATCCCATTTAGCTATTTTTTCTGCTTGAAGAAACAGCTCTCTGGTCTTCTTATTCTCTTCTTTTGTTAATCTTTGTCTTATTTTCTCAGCTAGGACAGAAAACTGCTAGCCACCTCCACCATTGCCTGTTTAGGCCTCTAGGTTCATCTTCACAGCTGTAAAGTCTCCCTCAGCTAGTGTCCCCCTCCCAAAACCAGAACGAGCCAAGAAAGAAAGTCATTAGCCATTTGCCTTCTTTGGGCTTCTGTGTTCAACTACATGCTGTGGAGTCCCCTTTAGCCACTGTCCCCAGCCAGAGCAAGTGCTAGACAGGACAGAAAGCTGCTAGCCATCTCCATTTTGCCTGTTTGGGCACTCTGGGTTCAACTTCAAGGCTGTGGAGTATCCCACAGTCAGTATTACCCTCCTAGACCCAGCACTAGCCAGCTAGGAAGGCTGTTTTACTCCATAATTCCCTCCTCTTTTCTTTCTAATATGTGTGTGTGTGTGTGTGTGTGTGTGTGTGTGTATGTGTGTGTGTTTTCTATTTTTGTAAAACAGTTCTCTTCCCTCCTTGTGCTTTTGTCTTGTTAATCTCTGTCTTTTCTCACCTAGGACAGATAACTTCTAGCTATATCCATCTTTGCTTATTTTGGACCACAGGATTCAAGCTCACAGATGTGAAGACTCTTCTGGCCGGTGTACTCACCCAAAACCCAGCAGTAGCGAGGCAGGAAGGCTCTAATCTGTGCCTTTTTACTTTTTTTTTTTTAATATCTCTGTTCTCCTTGGGCTTCTCTCTTGTTAATCTATGTCTTTTTTCTCACCTAGGACAGAAGGCTACTAGCTATTACCAACTCTACCTGTTTGGGGCCTCTGAGTTCAACTTCATGGAAATAGAATCTCCCTCAGTCAATGTCCCCCTCCCAGACCTTCTGCTAGCCAGGTAGGAAGGCTGCTTTGCTCCCTCTTACTCTCTTCTGTCCCTTCTAGTGTTTTTCTCCTTTTGAAATCTGGTCTCTGCCCTCCTTGACCTTCTTTCTTGTCAATCTCTGTCTATTTCTCACCTAGAGAAGAAAGCAGCTATCCATGTTCAATTTTTCCTGCTTTGGGCCCCTGGGTTCAACTTCAATTCACTGAACTCTCTCCCAGCAAATGGGAGAGACCCATAGTTAGTCCGGATTGAAAGCAACAAGCCATCACCACCTTTTTGTGTTTTGATCCTCTGTGTAAAACTTGATTGCTGTGAAATCTCCTCAGACAGGGTCCTCCTCACAGACCCAGCACTAGCCAGAAAAGAAGGCTGCTAGATATCTCAGACTTTTGTCTGTTTTGGACCATAGGCTGCTAGCTATGCCACCTTTTCCAGTTTTGGGCCTCTGGGTTCAACTTCATAGCCATAAGTCTCCCACAGCTAGTATCACCGTCCCAGAGCCAGCCCTAGCCAGGTAGAAAGACTGCTTTGGTCCCTCTTCCTCTTTTCTCCCACTTAACTTTTTTTTGTCTTTGTTAGAATAAACAGCTCTCTGCCCTCCTTGTGCTTTTTTTATTGTTAATCTGTCTTTTTTCTCACCTATGACAGAAGACTGCTAGCCATCTCTATCTTTGCCCCTTTGGGGCCTCTGAGTTCAACTTCACAGCTGTGAGATCTTCCCCAGCCTGTGTTCCTCCCCAGAGCCAATGCCGGCCAGATATGAATGATCCTTTGCTCTCTTGCTCAACTCTCCCTCTTCTAATTTTTTTTCTTGTTTTTAAAAACAGCTCTCTGTTCTTTAAGGGTTTCCTCTTGTTAATCTCTGTCTTTTTTCTCACTTAAGACTAAATCTGCTACCCTTCTCCTCCTTTGCTTGTTTTGGACCACTGGCTTCAACTGCACAGCTGTAAAGAAAACACAAAACCCCCAGCCAGTGGCCTCATCCCAGACCAAGTAGTTGCCAAATAAGAAGGCTGTTTTCATTCCTCTTACTCTACTCTGTAACTTTCGAAATTTTTTAAAGTTCTCTGCCCTGTTTGAGCTTTTCTCTTGTTAATTTCTGTCCTTTTTCTCACCTAGGACAGAGAGTAGTTAGCCATCCTCACCTTTGCCATCTTCGGGCCTCTGGGTTCAACTTCAGGGCTATGAAAACTACCCCAGCCAGTGTCCTGCTCCCAGACCTAGCAATAGCCAGGTGGAAAGGCTGCTTTCCTCCTTCAAGCTCTCTTCTGTCCCTTTGACCATTTTTTTCCCTTTTTTTGAAAAACAGTACTCTGCCAATCTTGAGCTTTTCTATTATTAATCAATCTCTCTCTCTCTCTCCCCCCCCACACCCCTTTCTCTTTCACAAAGGACAGAAAGCCACTATTCACTTCAACCTTGACTGTTTTGGGCTCCTGGGTCCATTTCATGGCTCTGAAGTCTTCCTCAGCCAGTGTTTCCCTCCAAGATCCAGTGCTAGCCAGGTAAGAAGGCTGCCTTTACTCACTATTGCTTTCCTCTGTTTCTTTAATTTTTTTTCTTTTTGAAAATCATCTCTCTTGCCTTCTTGAGTCTTTCATTTTTGAATCTTTACTTGTTTCTCACCTAAAACCAACAGCTGCTAGCCTAACCTCCTTTATATGTTTTGATGTTCTGGGTTCAACATCATGGCTATGAACATTTCCAACAGCAGTGTCCATCTCCCAACTCAACACTAACCATAAAAAAAAAAAAAAAAAAAAAAAAAAAAAAAAAAAAAAAAAAAAAAAAAGGCTGCTTTGCTCCCTTTTACTCTCCTCTGTCACTTCTCACATTTGTTTTTTGTTTGTTTGATAAACAACTCTCTGCCCTCCTTGGGATTTTCTCTTCTTAATCTCTCTCTTTTTTCTCTACTAGGACAGGAAGCTGCTAGACATTTTTACCTTTTCCTGTTTTGGGCCTCTGCATTCAACTTCATGGCTGGGCAATCCTCTCAACCCA